CATCAGAACTAAGCACCCTTTTCACAGCACTCCATGAGAGACAGCAAGATTATCTCTAAAATAAGCTGTTTTCTGCATTCTGCTGGTTCAGAGACTGTGACCTACCACTACTGTCTCCATCAGAGTTATCTAGAGACACCCTAAGTAACTAACCAGCAAGCAGCAGTGGCATCTCACCACCCTCCAAGCAGAAAGCAGAGCACCTACATTTCCAAAGTGTTAGATGCTTCATGACCTTGAAAGCGTGCATGTGCTTGATCTTAAAGAAAATTGATCTAAAGAAACTAAATATTCTGTGAATCTGTGAATCTGTAAAGAAACTATGCACTTCACATAAATTTATTTCTACATTGCAGAGTAAACTGAAGCACTAATAAATAAAATTATTAACTTTATGACAAGGTAAAGAATATATTTTCTTTCTTCTTCACCCATCTCTCTTCTTTGAGGTTAAAATTCATGCCAGTGAAGAGGATCCACTTAAAAATCAAACTATAACTTCACATGCATTTATTTTATTCAAATGTGAATATTTAGTTGAATTCATTTGCTAGAGCTCACTCAGATATGAGTGTCTTTCAGTCATTTACTATACTAATGATTTGATGTGACATTTCCTATGTACTCCACACTAGTTCCTGTCTTCTCCAAACCAGTTTCTATTCCAAATCAGTACCTAAAGGCTTCTCCAAATCTAAATAGCAAGATGTATTGGTTCTAATACTGCTGCTGGCTCTGTGCTCCTGCTGTCCTGGGCTGAAATGGCATCTGTGCCATCACAGGTACCACAAGGAGAGTGGCTTAGATGATAAAATATTGGGATATCCTCTCTGAAGTGACAAGCACCCATATAACCCTGACCACTGTTTTAGTGTGTGTTTAGGCACCAAATAGCAAGAAGATACCCCATTCACACACAGCTTAACTTGCTCCCAATAACATATAGATAAACTATTATTCCTGCTGTAAAAGGGCAGCAAGTCTCCTTGTAGTTGTGCTAAAGTCCTGTTAGAGGCAAGGAACAAATAAGCCAACGTCTTATGCTCATGACCAAGATATTTAAACCTGAGCTGATTGTAGGAGGTGAGTCATTATATGTATCCTAAGTTTTTAAGTGAGCATTTAAAAGATATGCTCTAGAATTATTAGAATTAGAGCTAGCTTGGTGAGCTCTGCGAGAAACAGCCTAATTAGCTTCCAAGCCAAACAAGGTATTTCAGTTCTACAGAGCTGTATGCTAAACTGCCTCCTCTCCGCTGTCACTCTGCAGCTTTAATGTTACTGAAACTGTCAGGAAAAAATTGCTTTTGAATTAGCTAGGAGCTGCAGGAGAATGAAGGTGACAAAAGACTCATGCTAATGTCGATCACAGAGAGGAAATACAGCTGCATTTCAGCACGTGCATAAGGCTATGCCTTAATGGAGATATATTTCTCTCTTCCACTCCATTTAGTGTTTAAAAAGAGTAACTGCAAGGCAGAGAAATGCTACAATGAAGAAAAAAATGGACAGTCAAATGGACTGAAAGCTGAAAAGTCTCTCTGAATCCCATTTTTTCCCATTTTTATCAACTGCTTAGTATATTAACGGCTATTGTAAATATGATCTATTTAAGTGATCTAAGTGATCACTTACCTGATCTAAATACCTTATAATCATTCATGCATTCATCCTCATCACACCTGAGATTACTCCCTTTCAAGTATGGCACCAAAGCAGAGGGGACTAAGGTACTTGCGATTATGATTAATCTCCTCTGTCATTCAAGTACCCTACATTGTAGCCGAGACTCCATACAGTGAGATTGTCAGTCAGAGCCAGTCAGTGGATCCTAGGGCACATTTCCAACCACTAACCTGACCAAAAATAGGTGTCTTATTTAGACTGAGGTGACTGTGAGTTTTGCTCACAGGTTGATACCTACCCTCTGGATATCTAAACTCAGAAAGAAAAAAAATAATTCCACCTTGAAAAGTTGAGTTGAAATTTAGATAACTCTATAACAAATGAGAATGAATAATTCCAGTTTCTTTGCTGCCGGTTCTGAGGTTCCCAAACAACCCAAACACACCCCAATCACATGCTTGATGCACTGGCTCATATACATTTATTCCCAGGAAATGCTAAAAAGACACATTTTCTTCCATTTTTCTCCAGCCCATTAGTCAAGTAATTACTGCATTAGTTAGGCACTGTCCAAAGGCAGTAGGAGCTGCCTCACAAAGCCAAGTCAAGCAGAAGAGCACGTTAATGCAGCTCCCTACATTTCAGAGCAGTCATTTTTTGCCCAGGCAGCTCTCGGCAGATTGGTGCCTATTTGTTGCCTGTGCCTCCACTGGGATTCAGAAACAAGGCACTTCCCCACCTCCATTCCCAGTTAGTGTGGACAGAGCACTCCAGGCACTATTACTATAGATCTCCTTTCCAAATGAGCTCCAAATGTCTTGCTGAGTGTTCACCTAAATACCCAGCAGCTCTTATGCTCCAGTCACCAGCACCACTCTGTTCTCAATACCTCAGATTTTCTATCATGCAGAGGATTTTATTTTATTTTATTTTATTTTATTTTATTTTATTTTATTTTATTTTATTTTATTTTATTTTATTTTATTTTATTTTATTTTATTGTCAAATTCACAAAGTTATTTTGGGTTCTCAGCTTATTCTTGCAAAGTTCTTTGTGAAGAAGGTAGAAACACCTTTAACTAAAATTAAATAGCTTGTGCTACAACCTGAAGTTGTGGCACACAACTTCAATATTTATGTAACAATGCATGTGTTTCTAAGTATCTATAGAGTTTCTGTCTTCTTGTATTCAGAAGCAATGACTGTCACTAATTGCCTTTCTCCTCTCAAGACACTAAGTAAAAAAATGCAACATTTGTTTTGCCTTTGGAAACAGAGACACTGCAAACACTAGCCATGATGCTTCATTCCAGGGGAATTTTGTACTTTCGTATCTTCAAGGATTCAAGCATAACATATGGCTCCCAAAAGATCCCAGTAATTGATCTCCCCTCAGGATCCACAGATGCCATTTAGATCAGCAGAGACATCATCATCTACAGCAGGTATGAGGAAACACAGCCAGAGGACAGAACGATCCCAAGTCCCATTCCCCAAGGTAGCTAGGGACCAAGGCAGGTAGGGTCTGGTCAAGCTCCCTGCTGAAGCTGTTCTACCACACAGGAAATAGAGACATTCCCTGTTCCTCCTGTGTGCAGAAAAGCTCTACAGCAGCACAGCTGTCTGTCTTTGCTAGCTGCTTATCAGAGCTGTCATTGCTCTTCCAGTCCAAGCACTACTACAGAACAACCACTATTTAAATTATAAAAATGATTTGGGACCACTTATTTTCTTTCTCTTTGATTCTCATATTCTTTTCCTCTGAGGCACTGTTGTAACAAAAATAATTTGCATTTAAAAAATGAGCCAGGTCCCAGGCATGATTTTCTTGGCCATGCACAGAGGCATTGGGGAAAAGGTAACTCCAAAGAGTAAAGAAATAAAAAGAAAAAAAATAAAATAATAATAAAAAAACACTAGATAGAATTATTTCTCACCAACACATATATAGACTATAGTATAGACTATATCAAAAGAACCAATACATCAATACCAATATCAAAATATCAATACCAATATCAAAAGAACCATTCTGGTTCTCTATTAATGAACAGAGCTGATAAGAGCGGGACACTGTGGTTGCTTATTACCCTGCAAATACTACAAGTGTTTCTGCGCATTTAACCACTAGGCCTGCTTTAAATTAATGATGTCTTCCCACACACTGTTTCAGTTTCTCTGCATTGCATGTACCTGATAAAGAGTGGAAGATTCTGTGTTGAGTGGAGGAGACAGAAAAACACAAATAAATTTTCACATCCACAGCTCACTGTAGCTACAGAATCTTCCTTTTCCCCTCAGCAGCACAAGCATATTAAGGAGAAATCTACTCTGTTTGAATCTCACATTTTTTAAGCTCTGCTGAAAACAATACATTAGATTATATTTTCAAGTTAAACAGAATTCATTTAAACATGACATTTCCTTAAAGATCCTAATAAACACATGGCAGCACAATTGCATCAATTTTTCCCCTCCGTATAATTTCCAGATCAATCAGGGTTATAAAGAATTATGCTAGCTGAGAGCACTCTGCAGACTTTTTGATCAGGTGAATAGAGTTTCAAATGAGCCAGGATTGGTCAGGAATTTGTAACAAATTAAATTAGCAGTTAGATTGAAATGAGTATGCTTTGGAAGACATCAAAATAAAAAAAAAAAAAATGATTTTGGCCAACAAAATGTTTGAATGAATATTCCTTTGGATCAAATGACTGAGTTTTTTTTTTTTTTTTTTTTTTTTTTTTAGCTCACTGATGGCTTTAGTGGACCAAAACATGTTGTTTCAATAAATAATAGTTAAATAGAAAAACAAAATGAATCTTTAACACATATTACCATATATTTCACTCTTGCAAAGAGCAATCTTCTAACAGTTTTCAGAGAATTAAAGAGTATCTTTGGAAAAATACACAGGAAACACCTTACAAAATGAATCATTTACCACAAGGGTAATGAAAATATCAAGCAACTGTGTTCAACTCTTGGGAAAGGATGTGAAAACAAAACATTGCAGCTACAGGTGCTCTTTATCTTTCTGCACATGAGCACTTTCAATAAAATGCTAACTCTAAAGTGCAAATTCTATTTTGATTCAGGACTAGAAACACTCCTCCTACACACAGAACTGAATCTCAAATATCAAGCCAGAACGTTAAAGGAGAAAAATCTAAGCAGCATGGATATGAAACACCAATTTCCTGACCATTCTAGCTGTTTTTTACTTGTGGGTATAGGATATGGAAAAAATGGAGACTCACTTGTAACAGAATTTGGTCATTCATAATAATGGAATATTTGATATTCATAATAATTGGAGTATTTTTGAAGGCCCTTTTTGCAATGAGAGACAACAAAAGTTTACAATACATACATAGAAGTTGTTTTATTTTAGTCATATGATATTTATTTGTTACATAGGAATTACTTCATTGAGTAAGACTTTTAATCAGATATTTTCCTTCTCTGTCTGTTGTTTCCAAACAACGTTTACAACTTTTTGATGTTCGTACTTTAGTTCCCACGTTCTTCACATGATGAAAATTGATTTATGTACAAAATTATTCTCTGAAAGGCACCTCAATCAACATCACACCTTGTGTTTATTTGCAGGGCATCACTTGTGCAATCTGAAGCAAGCGTGGGGACTATACAATGAACACAAGTCATCAAGAATAATAATTATAAAAGAGGAAAAATAGTCTGGTGCATGAAACTTTCTTCACTGCTCCTTAGTGTATCATCCTCTGTCCTCTCACATTTTTCAACTCTGTGAAATATGTATCCCGTATATGTATCTGTATCCTTCCCAACATCTGTGATCCATTCAACTCCGACTAGCCATGCTTAAAAGGCATTTATAAACTCTTTTAAAACATGGCTTTTAAAATATGGAGAGTCACTGGCCATATAAATAGCTTTTTTTGCCAATATTTCCAGTTCTTGATAACGATGTTTAGTAGCTTCCAGAAAAAGTTGCCATTGGTTACATTCATGATTGATTCCTTTACATATGGTCTTCCATTCAAGACTCTCCAGATGACTCCCCCAAAGTTGATGCTGTAGCAAGCATATATACATTTACATACTGTCTTCAAGAACATACTTTATCAATCAGCTTTAATTATTGGAAAGTAATTTTAGCCCCCTTGTAGCTAACAGGTCCATTTCCGGGGACACTCCTGCTTCTTAGAATGGTTTGTGAACTTCATGATTATGAATCCTGATGTTAGTAGAAAGCTTTCTATTAGCAGCACTGACAGCCAGCTCAGAAGCAATGACTTTCAGCAGCAGATGTTTGAACACAAGATTATCCTCTCTCTCAGCATCTCTCAGGTTCTGCATCTGCAGGCTATATTGTTCCTCTCTTTTCCCTCTGCATTTTTTAGAAGAAAGAAATGGGAAAAAGAAAGCCAAGAGTAGCAACTTAAACCAGGATATCACTTCTTTTACTGCACCATACTACCAATGTTATCATGGCACATGTCAGCATGACTGGGATCAAGATCAGAGTTACGAGAATTTCATCTGGTGGATCTTCCCAGTGAACCTTTTCAGAAGTACAGTTTGAAAAGAACTGTTTATGGATTCCAGTGATAAAGCCCTCTGCAAGGGGGTTTGGCCAAAAGCAACTTGCATTGTTGGCTTCACGTTCTGTGCACTGGGTAAAGTTGTCATAATACCTAGGAAAAGAAGACAATGAAGAGAGTTTATACAAAACACATGTATTTAACTCAAAGAAGGCTTCTATGAGTACCATGACTACCATTATACCCAATGAATATAAAATCTGTAAGATTTGATGATAGACCATACATGATAACTCCTGTTAGAGGATCTGGAAGAGAAATTATGGATATCAAACTCAGCACTGAGTCAGATGGTGAGCTGACTCACATGTGTAAGCCTAAGACCAAAAGATTCCAGAAATACAGGTATCCTAGGAGGCCATGAGTAAAAACCCGCCTTGGGGTGCTTATGCTATGGCCAGAACTTCCTAATTCCACTTAAACACTGCAGAATTAAAATCTCTTCATAGAGGCAGCTACAACACTACAAAATATACAGTCAAACATGCCAAGAACAGTACAGTTTAAGCAAAATACAGACAACTCATGCCCCATCTGTCGCTAGAGAAGAGGCTGTGGCCAAAATGATGATGTGATGCTGGACCTAAGCCACAGCATGCATTACTGTGTAATAATTCTACTTCTGGTATATCCCTTAGCAATAATAACACCATGTGAAAATAAATACAAAAAAGTCAGCTTTTGACAACTTTTCTCTTTTTCCCAGCTCTAGCAAATACCCAACAGGAAAATCAGGGGGGAAAAAAAATCCTACTTAAATCTATTTGTAATACTCATGAGAGATTGGAAACTCTCTGAAATGTGTAACACTTGAGTTCAACAAATCATTTGCTGGTATTTACCTGTCCAAGGATAACTTTTGTTTATGTTATGAGAATTGGCTCTCCCTCACAAAGAAAAGGAAACAATATGCCTAAATAAGTAATCGGATGGGCTTTGTGGTTTTATCATAAGCCAGGAAAGTTCAGGAAGGGAATTTAGTATGAGGGAGGAGATCGGAAATCAAGAAGACAAGGACTGTCTGGTCAGGACACGAATAGGCGAAGAAATAAGGAAGTTGATTATTGTCTGCAGCATCTTAAGTGTTTCGCTCAGTTCTGTGTGACTCAATAACCTCACTTCAAAGGGAAAAAAAATAGAAAAGAGAGAGAAAAAATAGAAAAGTCACTGACGTGTCAAGGGATGGCATTCTGCATTAATATCTGAAGGTCCTACCTCATTTCAATATGCATAAATGTAGTAATGCCTAGTGAACAACTCGCGCTTATGTGAAACACTTCCAGGGACTTAGGCAGACTCAGTCCTTGCCACAAAGTAGTGGAGGAGAGACAGTCTGTGTCTGGGTCAAGACTGAACTGACATCACTGTGCAGGGCCTGTCTGAGGAGAGATGGCCCATGCCACCACCACCTAGGTTAGGAACATGGCCTGCAGAGTAACCCCCTTACGGTTGTGTACTCATCCTCAGGGAGTTTGCACCAACAGCACTTTATCCACTAGCAAAGACTGATGCCTCAGTTGCCTTAATGCCAATTCAATTGGTGATCTGGCAAGTCCACACCCAGATGCCTTGCCACACAGATGCCTATATGCACAATATATGTATATTTTAAGCAAAGCAACTAGAAAGGAAGCTTTTGTTACAAAGGCAGCAACCACAGAGAAACAACAGGAAATAAGCTAAAAATAAAATACAAACATTGTGAGTTTGTTATTTTAATAGCACCATTCTTCCAAGCTATCCCATAGCATCCATCCTTTTTGTCTCTGAACTAAATTAGGATCTATAGATGTCTAGCTGAACACAGGAGAGACAGTCCCAAAGGACCTGGGGAATAACACAGCTAACGGCAAGCCTGGAGGAGGCAGTGGAGCTCGCACCGCGTTGCCCGGACAGGTCCGTGCTCCATCCAGCACAGACACGAGGCAGGAAGAGTCGAGCTCTGCTCAGCTCTGCTCTGCACCATGCTCTGTCTAGTGGTGCCTGTCAGCCATGGGCATTTAGCTTCCCCAAGTCCCCCTGAGCTGTCTTCAGGTCCCATCTGTTCCTGCAGAATAACACGCACAAGGGAAAAAAAAAATCATTGTGGTCTGCAGCGGCTTCATATAAATGAACCCCAACCATAAAAGGCTTTAAGGCCAATCCCCACTCCCACTCTTTATTTTTTGAATCTCCTGGTAAGCTTTCTATTCTTTCAGGAATTCTACAGAGTTTTGTCACAGAATGTTAGATGGTATGAACAACTCAAATTTCCCCTGATACCAAGTCTCAAGTACAGCACAGACAGAAAAAAAAAAAAGAAGAAGAAAAAAAAAAGGTTAAATGCTTCCAAAACACAAGATAAAAATAATGGAGTTATGCTGTATTTAAAGACTGACTCCCTAGAAGCCAAGATAGAACATAAATATTATCTTAACAGTTTGAATTCCTTATAACACTCACTTAATACTTTGTAAAAACAACAGAAAAAAAACATTACCTGCACTAGAACTGTTTTCTCAAGCATATGTGAGAATGTAGATAAAAATGAATAATCCAAACTATTTGGGCACTATGTGTCTGCAAGCAATACTCCGTTCACTTAAATATCTATGTAATTTAATAATTTAGAGATTTTGCACTGCAACAGAACACTCCTTAAAAAAAAAAAAAAAGAAAAAAAAATCCCACTGCCTGGTACTGGATAACATCCACTGCAGAAGGCATCAACTGAATTTTAATTCCTACAATGTGGGCGTTTTATACTTGATCAATTGTTTTGCAAGGCTTTTGTTTGCGTTTTAAGAGAGTGGTAGCACTTAATAGCTATTTAATGCCAATTCAATGCCCATATGTTTGATTCTCTTCATGTCATGCCTAACTCTCCTAACTAAAATTGTAAAGGTGAAGGAAGGAACCACTTTCATTCTGTGTAATGCATTACCTTTCACAGTGAAGCTCTGGCCTCTGACTAGAGAGACAGCAACATAAATGAAAAAAAAAAAGGTTACATGTTTTGTGAAAGGAAAGAAGTAAAAACGGCATTGTGTCCTTATAGCCAGAGTAAGTAATTGGGAGGCAGGAGTGCAAGCTCCAGTGCTTCAGCCTCAGGGATTAGGAGGAGGAAGGTTATTCTTCTCTGCACTGAGCTCAATTTTCGGCTCTCTTTCAGGCTAGCTACAAGGGTCAATAGTCAGCCAACAAGGATATATACTGGGGCCAGGCTCACCAAGTCTCACATAAGCTCTGTGATCAGTGGGTTGAAAAATTAATGTAGTCCAGAGTTTCAACTCAATTTAGTAGGTCAGTACCAAAGGACAAAAACTAGCCAGAGGCCGAGCACTGAAATGTGCATTAAAATCTACTCTTCACTGGTATACTCAGAAGAACCACTGAGGAACCAATGTTTTAGTCATACTGCATTTTATTGATAATATTCATTGTCAAAGGAACATTAAAAAATAACTAATTCCCCTTTGAAGCAATCTCTAGGCTGTAACATATTTGCCTGAAAAGACTATTTACAGTACTTCAGTGCATGCTGTTATTTTCAGAGAACACCTTTTCACCTGTACTTTATACTTCCACTAAACCAGATAATAGCAGCCTTGCGGCTCATTTTTTGTTTAAAAAAAAAAAGTGGAAATTTTACTTTGTGAGTTATTTTACCTATCGAAAAATGTATTTATACCTGTTTATATAACCAAGAACATGGGCAGGGGGTAGGAATGACCAGAGATGCTAGCAGACGCATCTGCCTTGACAGAAGTGTTTCACCCAGAGAAACGGCTGGATGTATTTCATCTCACCCTTCTCAGAGCACCCATCACCTACCTCTTAAGGCACAGGTCAGGCTAAGCAGAGATCTGAATCCCAACCCTAACTTCCCACAAGAGATAACATGGTAAATTCTTTCTTGTTCTTCCTGACCAGCAGTTCCAGTAAGGGAATTTGCTATCTACCCAGCACTAATGTAGACAAGTTAGAGACTCTCTTTCTTCTCTACTAGAAGCCATTAACTTTTTATCATGGCTGAAGGAGAGAAGCCAAGAATTAAAATAATAAAGGCCAACATAATTTCACAACCTCCTTTCACATTTATCAGCTACAAGATTAGTGATACAATGTAATTAAAGAAAGTTACTGCTATCAAACAACAAGACTGCATATATTATCATTTAATATTTATTATTTTTAAGCTATTGAGTATTCAAAAACATGGGAAGAGAATTCTCCCTAGCATAAATAAGGCTTGATGCAACTCTGGCAAAAGATACTCCAGGGACACTCACCTCTGCTACTGGTGAAAAATCTAGAGGTGCTGTTCCAAGATGCCACAAGATATGTGGAATATTCAAATAAATCAACACATTTTGAACCTCTGCATTTCTCAGAAGGGATAGGATTCCTCTTTTGCTATATGATACCGATCCTCATTCTTGCCTTGTTCTGATGCCTGTAGGCTTCAAACTTTTGTTTCAATTCCTTATTACTAGGGAGAAATCCTCCCAATTGGTCACAAAACCACAAGGCCCTGTAGAAAGCACCAGCCCCCATGCATCAGACATATGCATCCTCGAAACACAGGTTCAACAAAGAAATTTTCTTATATGCAGTCATCTATTAAATTACATTTTTAAATGAATGATCAGCCCTGTTATAACTCTATTTGCTTCCCTGGAATTATATCTGATATGAGTCTAGCTAGCAATGTACTCTTCGTTAAAGAGCATAAAGAAATTAAGTAACTGGACTCCTAAAGATGGAAACCTAATTCTATCCAACTTGCTTTCAAGAAAAAGGTTGAAGTTCTCAGAAGAAGAAAGCTTATACATCTTAAGCCAAATTACCATTCATAGACACAGGGAAAAAAAAAAAAAGGCAATCAACTTCGTCTGAAAATAACATTCAGATAAAGGCCCTTTAATGTTACTTTTTCATTCTAGCATGTCTTTGGTACTTTGAGCCTCCACCAGGTATGGAATGAAAAATACTGAAATAATAACAATTATAAATCTCACACCATAAGAAAGGCTCTTCTTGCAGCATTTCCAGCTGAAGTGGAAGCAGAGAGTACCAAATTACCTCATCAAAAACAAAAAACGAATAAACAA